TTCTACAAAAAAACACACTAAGTACTCTGAAAGAAAAAGTATAAAATGAAGATTCATAGAACATTTCCAATTAAGATTGATGCAGAAAAATGAGGGTGAAAGTCTGGAAGAGGGAGTCAAAGTGCAAACGGAAGAGTAGATTTTAAATGCAGAGCGACATGGCGTCAGATTGATGACTTTAATGGCAGCTGTTTGGTGGAGCGTGTCATTAACATGTGAAATTACACGGCTCACCTCTGTAATCCAGAGGGCGGGGGCCCTCTCCACCAGGAACCTCACAAACAGCGCTATCTTGGGGTTTCGTTTTTACGTGGAACCTCTTGAGTTGAATTTATAGTTGTTTGTCTGTTGATTGTCGTTATTTGGTGTCTTTCTTCGTTCTCTCTCTCTTTTTGGTCGTTTTGCATCACTTTCTTTTCCTTCTGGGTCTTTTTGTGGTTGTTTTGCTCACCTGGTGTCTCCTTGGTTTTGTATCTCTCTCTAGTTGTTTTTGAGTCTGTTTGTAGTTATGTTGAGTGTATTTGTGGCTGTTTTGCATCTTTTGCGTCTTCGTGGTAGTTTTGTATCTGAACTGAGCTAACAAACAACAAATATCCAGTCTTGCTATAGAGGCTCTGACCTCTCTGCTTGGTGATGCATCAGTGGGAGGATAGGATGTACGTACGTCAGCTCTGTGCTTTCCTGATATCTGCTAACATACACTCCACTTGTGCTGCATTGTTGTGTTTAGCAAAATCATTTGTCCAGTATGTTGATTTTATTTGGTGTGGCATTACCACTGTAGCTTCCAGAGGATGCTAGCAGAGCTTTAGTCTTTATTTGTAGTATCTAAACAAAGCAAATCCCTCCTGGCAGTCATGTTTCCTGCTTCTTGTCGTCTGCTTTCATCCATCATGTTCAATTAAAGGAATCAACACAATGAAGTGAAATCTAAAATTTCAGTCCATTTCTTCACAGATTTTCATCTCATGAAGCTGAAATAAGATAAATCCAGCTGTTTCACAGTGATGCTTTCTGCTCGCATCATATTTTGACTCCACATGGATCCAAAAGGAGATTCTAAATCCTCCGCTGTGTCTATTTAACTTTAATTTCAACCAGACACACTGATGTTTCTTGTTTCCTGTGTCCTGAGCCTGACACACGCTGCCTCAGTCTCTTCCTCTGGATCCGTCGTGTGGAAACGGGTCACGCATTCGAGTGCTTCTGGTCGTTAATAATGAATAAATGGACGTCCGAACAAAAACACCGCCTGTGGTTGCTGATGTCTTTGTGTAGACACGAATCAAATGCACTTCAGGCATCGAGCTTTTAGCTTTATGTAATTTCAGTTCACATAAATGTGGAGTCCACCTTTCTGTTTCATCACAGGCTTTCAGCTCAGTCTGTTCAGAGGTGCAGAAAAATGACTTCTTATAAGACTGTTGACGTAATGCCTCAAACATCATTACAACATGATGTATTTAAATACTTTTCTATATTTAAAGCAGTCATCTATTCCAGTTTAAATAATTTTTAAGCCTCGGGTCAAATCCACAACTTTTTCCAATTACTCTGGGCATTTTTCCCTCACATCCTCCTTATGTTCTGAGTGTTTAATTACCAAGCAAGTAAATACAAGTGGTAGTTTCCTCACTTGGCCCATGTAAGCTGTACTTATGGAGGGAAATTATCTCCCACCGCCCATCAAATGTGGCTGAAAACTGGCTCAGGACTCTTAACTGTACGCACCACTTTGCTGGGTTACAGCTTCATAATGTTTCCAGTGTCTCTTGTGACACCACAAGGCCAGAATACGCAGCCAGATTTTTACTAAGGTTTAACTGTAAGTTCATACTGTAGGTATTCAGCTGACTGCTTCCACTTTTAAATCGCAAAAAAAGTAAGTGAGGTCAGCGGAGGTTAAAGCCACGTTCCCTCAACAAGAGATGAAGCAAAAGATAAAAAAAAACAACTGATCAGCAAGAGAAATCACGTCCGCATCCGTTTTCAGCAGATGAGAGACGATAGTTGACTGACGCTCGGCCCAGAATAACTTCATGTGACAGAAATGGAAAAAACAAGCCCCCACATGTTCCGCACAGCAGGTCCGGGTCTGTTTGTTGAAGCTTGAGTACACAAACATCCAGATGTGTACGTGAGCACTTTGTTTATGCTGCGCTTCATGCGCATCAGACTTACATCAAGTGTGAAATAAAAGCCATAAATGATCATTTAATCCTTCAGTCCATCCCAAAAAAAAAAAAATTGCACCAATATACGCAAATTTGAATATCAGGATGATCATGTGATACAGTTGAAAGCTCCAGAACAGCTACTAAATGGAGCTGGTGATGAAACTAGTTTGTCATATATTTTTGTGGATAAGGGGTTTGTGTAATATGTGGTATAATCATGTGTCATCTTATCCCATTTGGGAATTTCAATGATTTCAATGGTATTACAACATTTCATTCATGTAGACACTCATATTGAAATCCCACACCAATATCAGCCAAATAACTGTGGATTTAGAGGCTGTTTACTTTTAATAAAACTGGAGAAACGTTATAAACAGCAGAACCTTGAGAGTTCTCATTTAAATGGAGCAAAAAAAAATAAAAAAAAGAAGATCTTTCCAACAAGAAAACAAATATTAGAGCCAAACCAATGTGTCCTTCATTTTCATAGTGAGTGTTTCCTGCTGAAATCAGCCTCTCCAGGACGACTGCAGGAGTTAACAGCCTGGAAAGTGTTTGGACTTCAGTAGCCTGAGGGTGTGTCTGTCTGTCTGTGTGTGTGTGTGTGTGTGTGTTTTGTTGCTGTCGCACTTTTGACCCGTCTGCTGTGTCTTAAGCCGTAAATCTCAACCAAACATGCTGTGATTTGTGTAAATAAAGTGAATCTGTCTGACATCTCACGCTGTGTCGACAGTTTGCTAGAACTGAGGAAAAAAAACAAAAAAACATCTCCACTGACCCACAAATGATCTTTTATGAGAAACAGAAGTTGAGCTGTAAAGTAAGACGTGTTTTTTAGTCTTTGAGGGGTTTTCTTCATCCTCGGGAATCATACCTGGTGTAATGAGTTACAGAAACTCAATCCTCTGAGAAAAGGTAGAGCCACTGATGTTTAACCTGGGACAAAGCTGAGTCAATAAACTGGGAGGAGATCAAACGGGGACAGGGATGGCTGAGCGCTCCTACTGCTGTTTCCCACACTCAAAATCTGATGGAGGTGATGTGCTACTTCATCAGGTTTTATATCACTGGCTGATTCTAATACATTCTAACTTCTCTTACATTTAGGGCTGTAAATGAATAAACGTACTTGGTAGGACGCAGGTAAGAAAGAGATGAAGATCATTTACAACGCAGGAAGATAAGAAGAAAACAAAAAGGAGAAAAACATAAGAAGAAGACTTGAAAGACAACCTCAAGCTGTGACCTGGTATGCACGTATTTGTTTAGTCAAATGAATCAGAAGAAGGCTGAGCTTCCAACCCTCCAGATAATAAACACAGTCACACACAAAAAAGAAATAAAAGAGAAATGAGCAAAGATAGTTGGTTAGTTAGATGGTTTTGAATTTTTTCACCATTTTACACCTGGTTGGGGTTTCTTTTTTATATACAGTCTATGGTTGGTCCAGTTTTATTCCTTCCTCTGGTGATATTTTCTACATTGTCTTTGCCTTTAGCTCCCTCTTATGGCACCAGCCTGCACCTGCAATCTGTGTCTGAAAACAGCTTTTTGATAATGTAAAGTTTTATTTTTGCACCAGATATCTTGTTTTTTGTTTAATATGTTCCTTTTATGATAAATTGCATGAAACCTATAGATTATATATTCATAATAACTGTATAAAAGCATAAATACATGTTTTGGAAGAATTATCTCCATGTTTAAAGCAGTCATCCTGGCCCCGTGGCAGTGCTTTTTGTGTTATGTGTGTGACGTGTGTAAATTGTAAATTGATCATTATTTAGTTGTGACAGGACACACTGACCTCTTTAAACCTAACACAGATGCACCTACAGAGCAGAGTTCAGGTTAATTATTACAGAATACAGCTTGTTGTGAAACAGCAGAGCAGCTGCAGACATTGATGCATTTGCAGGGAATTATAATTGTAGGCTGCTTCATTTTTAGACTTTAGATTTAATCATCACATTAAAACATATAAAAAAGAAAAAGAGCAGTAATCAGTGACATAAAGAAAATAATAAATAGAGATTGTACTGTATGACAAACAAACATTGGCCATATTTTAAGTAAAGTCATGACTGAAAAATCACAGTATTATCCACAGGTGGGAGCGGCAAATTCTACATTAACTGTAATTCTAGTTCAGTATGTTTTGTGCGTTTTGGATGGTCTGTTGAAGTTACCCAGGTCCCACATAGTTGGAGGTGGGCGTTTCTGGTCCTGTGCAAGCAAATGGGATGGATCAAGTCAGAGTTATGCAGCCGTGTGGGACAGGAAATAAAGTCCTATTGGATGTAAAAATAAAACAACAATATTTTCACATATGATTAATAATCAATCATCATTTTCTGCTTAAAAAGTCATCAAAAAGCTAAAAATGTGTTTTTACATGTTTTTTTTTGGGGCGAAGAAATTAAATCCTTAAGCATCATAAAATACCACCGTGTAAATATACTCCTATTAATTAAAAGGAGTTATTAAAGAGGAAATCAAGAAGAAACAGTAGAACATAAGCTATAAAATATTAAACATAATTGTGTAAAAGTATTGATACATTTATCAGTTAGCCTAAAGAGTATTTAAATGCTGTATGTAGTCCTAGTGATTATTATTATAGATGCAAATATGTAAGTCTTATATGCTAGGTTTGCAAGATAAAAAATACTCAATAAATAAATAATAAACACATACTTATGCTACACACTAGCATCTTTATTTCTATCTCAACTGTTGATTATCTATAAGTAGAAATGTCTTTTACTTTGAAAGTCTAGACAGCCGGAAGTGTTCTAGCTAGATTGTGACTGTTAAACTGTTGGCGTATGCCCTTGAAAGATGTTTTCGGGGAAAGTAGACGCTTTATGCTTCTTTGTCAACGGGAAAAAGGTACATTTAGCATTTGAGACATACATTTAGCAGTTTGTGGTCGTGTGGCTTTTAACTGTTAACTGTTTATTTTAATTTCGCCATCGTAGGCCACAAATGTCTTTTCAAGATTTATAAAGTTTTTAGCTGCTCGTTGGCGGTGACAAAATTTTCCTTCACCTCATAAAACGTTGTCAGAGACTTAGACAATTGAAATAGTAAAGTAAATTAAACAGAAACTAGTTGAAATAGTCTGAAATCAACAATCGATGTTACATGGAAATTTGTGACTTATCAGGTTCTGAGACGGAAGGGCCGATGGGTAAAAGCTAAACTGACCACAACTGTAAAACGTATGACTCGAAATTTGTATTAAGTTATTTTAAAAAAAACAGTATATGATCAACTTTTTATTTTATTTTTTCTATGTCTATAATTTTACAATGGAGCTGAGTTTGGCTGGTGCAGATAGTTATTTTAATTTAATTTAGAAACTGAAGTAGGTTTCTCACAGAACAGACACACATAAGAGCAGATTTGAAAAAAACAAACAAAAAAAAAAACAACTTATTTCTTTGCACATTTGTGAATTAAATAATTTTTTTGTAAATTAATTGTTATTTTCTCATTTTAATTTAAATTGCATTTTAATAGTCTGGTTTCAGTGGATATTTTTTAGCCTCACATGATAGTTCAAATTCTGTTTTAGAGTATTTTTATTCTTGGCAAGAAGAAAATTCTGAAGGAAACACTGAACACACTTTTTTTTTTGTTCTCTGCCAAGAAAGTGGCTTCAAATATCCTCACCTCAGGATTCAGTCCAGTTTAACACGCATGTGTAGAAATGATTCGAACCCAGAAATGATTAATGGCTTCCTAGAGGAACAAACTAGGAACATAACAACCTTTTGCAAATATTTATCTGACCATATGTTAATGTTTTGTTTAAGTGAACTCAAACCCAGACAGTTTAAGACTTTAAAGAAATATAATATATAATATGTTTTACATCGGAACCACAGCGTGAACTCTGATTGTGATTTTGCTTCCCGTCACACCAGGTAACGGAGAACCATGCCGACCCTGAGACGATGCTGTTGTCCTTCCTCAGAGAGAAACGTATCCTTCGAATCTCCAAATCCACTTTCACATAATCAACTAATTGTTTTCACAAATCACAAATGATCATGTGAGCGCCACCTTCATGTTGTTTTATTTCCTTGACTGTGACTCCAGTGAGGTTAACTGGAACCAAGTATGGCTGCGGCGGCGGAGGCTGCGGGGCCTGCACAGTCATGGTGTCTCGCTATCAACCTGCCAGCAAAACCATCATGTATCCTTGACTACAGGCTCAGATAGCTCAGATACTGTACAGTCACAACTCTTTGGTTCTGTGAGCACATAACTGCTGCTTTTTAAAAGCTAAACAGGGTTATGATATGAGTTACGAGGAGTGGTGACTGATACTGCCCCTAATCTACACTCTTTACTAATACTGTTTATACTATTGGTGACAAAACTGGGGGCCATTACTGCCAAGGGGTTGTGAAATAAATTAAATTGTAGGAGCCTGTAAGATATTTACATTAAACAATATTAGTTTAGTTAGTCCATATTAGCTAGTGTCAAAAGCCAAAAAACTGTGATAAACTACGTACTAATGTTTACCATGAAGTTATTGATTAGCCCGATCAGTAAGGACCTGGCAGATGTATTAACTGCTGTAGGTCGTCCTGCAGAGCTTCACATGTTGAAAAGAATCCCAAGAGTCCTGCACACTGTCCAGTACTTCACTTTATTTACTCAACTCAGAGGAGTTTTCTTCCCTTGTGAAAACCTACAGCCTGTTTGTTTGGATGAATTTTTAGCTTGATGAAGATCTGAGGACCAAAAACGTTGTGTTAATAATGTTCAAGTGATGGGTGGTGTGTGAGATTCTTTAGTTTTTTTTTTTTTTTTAGACACGAATGTTTCCTTTGCGTCACAAGAGAAAAGAATGTAACATATTCTCCGGTGTGTTTGATTTATCCAAATGGACCTTTAAACACCATCTTCTTGACAAAATACACCAGAGAGGTTTTATTTGGATCAGCTACTAAACTGTGCTTGATCTGTGTTTGTTGTGATATTTATAAATTATTAACAAATAGAAAATTTCTCAGGTTTCCTCTCTGTTGGAAACACAACCGTCTGCTAAACTCTCACCACAGCCTGTGGTTTGTTACAACTGGTTGCAACATAGACCGGAACATCAATTTGTTCATCCATTAACAAGGTTGGTGGAATTCCAAAATACCAAACACTGCCACCATTTTTTTAAAAACTAAATTAGATTTTTAGAAAACAAGAGGGAGCCTGACTGCGCGCTGGTTATCTGCCAAAGTGGTTTGGACGTCCACAGCTGAGAGTTAGTTGTGGTGGCTGATGGTAATTTCCCTTCCTGGCAGCAAACCAGTGCAGCATCTGTTTCCTTCAGCACAGGAGGAGATACTCCTTCACAAATGTAAAACAGAAAAAAAGTCCCTTTAACCCGCTCTGTGTTTTATTTTGATTTTTCTTACCTTGTTTTTCCTGTGTGCCTCGTGTGTTTCAGTTCGTACCTGTTTTCAATCACCTGTGTTTCGTTTTCCTTCCTGCCAACCTGTATCACACTTTGCCTTCACTGCACCATCAGACATTACTCGGCCAACGCCTGCCTCCTGCCGCTCTGTCAGCTTCACGGAGCTGCCGTCACCACGGTGGAGGGCATCGGCAGCACCAAGACCAGAATCCACCCTGTACAGGTCAGCTCAGCGCAGACTCTCTCGTTCATTCTCTTTCTCTTTATCTGATTTCAGTAGCTAAAGATGACAACAGCACCATGTGAAACGGGTCCAGGAGATCTGGTGTAGTCAGTTTTGCACAATTGTGGCCTCCATTTTCCAACAAAAATAAATGATTTCAAATCATTTCATCAGGAACGAAATGCTATGTATAATAGGTTTGAAATGAGCTGTGGATGTTGTGTTTACAGGAGCGAATAGCGAAGGCTCACGGCTCCCAGTGTGGCTTCTGCACTCCGGGGATGGTGATGTCTGTGTACACTCTGCTGAGGAACAAACCTCAGCCCAGCATGGAAGACATCACGGAGGCTCTTGCTGGTTTGTTTGCTTTGTGTGCTAAATCTGTTCTATTAATGTTTCAGTGTTTTTCTGCTCGCATTTATCACAAATCCAGATATAATCAAATTACTCCTGTGCGTGGGAACACACCAAGTGATTTTCTGCTGTGCAGTGTGTCGGTGTACAAGCACAGAAATCGGATCTGCACCCAGCCCCTGTCCTCACTGTGTTTTCAGGTAATCTGTGTCGCTGTACTGGATATCGGCCCATTGTTGACGGCTGCAGGACCTTCTGTCAGGTACGAAGCTGAGCTCTACAGCCAGCGTGACACCACTCAGGAGAAATCAACACTGAGACTGGCGACACAACTGAGGCTTGTAACTGTTACAAATCCTTTTGATCTGATGATAAAAAATGAAATAATAGGAACGTGAAAATGCAGCGTGACGTCCATGTGAAATGATCCCGACAGGAAACCGGCTGCTGCCAAGCCAATGGAGAGGGAAACTGTTGCCTCAATGGAGAGGAAGATATTGTGAGTTCAACTGATTCCTTTTTCGTTTTTCTACTTTTCTTGTACTTTTACTCTTTTGTGCATTTCCTATTTTTTTCCCTCCCTTTGAGATTCACCGTTTAACTTGTAATCAGTACCAGTCACACCCTCTTCAGAAAGACTGAGCTCACACTGGATGAGATTTCAGATTTACTTCATATAAGTCATTTCTTTCTCTCCACACAACATTACTATAATCATGTCATGATAACATCCCATCATGCTCTCATGATGGCCTGCAGGAGAAGCCCCAGTTGTTTGACACGGAGGAGTTTCAGCCGCTGGATCCGACACAGGAGCTGATCTTCCCTCCTGAACTGATTGTAAGTTGTCAGATGTTTCACGCAAGGAGGGGTTAGTTTATTTGGTGTTAACAATTTTGTGTCATACCCTCGGGAAATGAGTTTGACACACAGCCTAAATTGACACGGGGTCATTTGAGTTCTTGTGATGTCAAAGAACTGAGCTGAATTCAACCATGTTATACTCATGTTGCATAGATATTACCAAGTCTAACGCTGATGAATTATTGATGCCACAAAGTGCATTTATTAAAAACGTCTCTCTGTCCGTAGCTGATGGCAGAGACAGCGAACCCACAGACACTCACCTTCTGTGGGGAGAGGATGACCTGGGTGTCCCCCGTCTCTCTGGAGGAGCTGGTCCAGCTGAGGAGCAGTAACCCGAAAGCCCCGCTGGTCATGGGCAACACCAACATAGGTGACCAGTCGAACCGGTTTCTGCTTTTTCATTTCCTGTGTATTACAGAGAAAGATGCCAAAGTTCCTTTGTCTGTCTGCTTTGTGCTGAAGGTCCAGATATTAAGTTCAAAGGCGTCCTGCATCCACTGATAATCTCTCCAACCAGAGTGAAGGAGCTGTTTGAGGTCGCTCGCACACCCCAGGGTGGGTCACCTTCCATTTCCGCACGAGCTTGCTCCACACAGTAGCCTGCAGCTCTGTTGCTAACACACTGGGTTCCCCCGCAGGTGTGTGGGTGGGAGCCGGCTGCTGTCTGTCCGAGGTTCGGTCTCTGTTGGAGAAGCTGCTTCCTCAGTTTCCAGAGGAGAAGACCGAACTCTTCAAAGCCCTGATCCAGCAGCTGAGGAACCTGGGAAGCCGGCAGATCCGTAATGTTGCCGTAAGTATACTTCACTCTTATGTGACAGTTCTTTATTCATTTCCGCCTCCTGTGGCTGGAAACGAGTCCTTGACATTACAAAATAAAGAATAAATGAATAATCACATGAATTGGTGAATTTCCTGTGTGTTGATTCTCGTTTTTACATCTTTAGTCTCTTGGAGGCAACATCATGAGTGCGTACCCTAATTCAGACCTGAACCCTGTTCTGGCTGCTGGGAACAGCAAAGTCAGTGTCATCTCCAGCGGTGAGTGTCCAGATTTAATGAAGAAATCAGAAACCCTGTGACGGCTTCTAGAGGAACCTCTGCTGTTCAGACAGGAGAAAAACAAGACTTATTTCTCTTGACTCCTGATTAACGAGCAGTTCCGTCTGAATCCACCAGGAGGAAGACGAGAGGTTCCTCTCAACCAGGACTTCTTCGTGAGCTTTGGAAAAACCGTCCTAAAACCAGAAGAGATCGTTGTCTCTGTCTTCATCCCTTTTTCCAGAAAGGTACAAACGTTCTGTCTGAGAAAAATCCATTTGCAACCTCAGTTTTTATGTTTGGTCAGGTGCTTATTGGGGAAAAGAAAACACTCTTAAATCTCTGTATTCAGTGTTTCAGTCAAACATTTGAATTAGGTCATCAGCTGTGTTTGTTTTCCTTTCAACTACTGTGGAACATCACAGCGGGTATGAGCCGTTTATTTATTGGACTAATACAAAGCAGAGTGCTTCATTTAACATTTCATTTCCAGATGTTGTTCCTCCTCCACTGCTGTCTCTGCTCATGCTATTCAACTCAAACCTAAAAGGCGAAATATTTCGCTGCTCATGTGGCTGTGAGTGTTAAGAAAAGCTAATAAGATGTAAAAACTTTAAAGGTCGCTATGTAAAAGTTTAATCTAAAGCCATTTTTGTCCTGCAGGGGGAGTTTGTTCGAGCTTTCCGCCAGGCTCCGAGGAAGGAGAGCTCATTTGCCACCGTGACGACGGGGATGAGGGTGTTGTTCTCGGAGGGATCCAGAGTGGTTCAGGATGTCAGTATTTACTACGGGGGAATGGGGCCGAGCACAGTCAGCGCTGCCAAAACCTGCGCAACTTTCATCATGCGGTCAGTGAGATGTTTATCTGCTCGATATGGGAAAGTTTAACAAGAAAATTCTCCCATTTCCTTTCCTCCTCTTGCTTTAATCCTTCCCTTCCGTTCTTATCTTCCTTTCTCATTTTCTTCCTTGGTCTCTGGCTTCTTCTTCTTTCCTCCCTTAATTCCTTGATTCTTTACTCCTCATTTATCTTTATCCCACACTCCTGAAGCACATTTGGTCTCAACTCAGCTGAAACATTAGACTAGCCACTGAAATGAAATCCACACTCCTTAGTGCTCCCCCTGTGTTTCCTTCAGGCCATGGGACGATGAAACCCTCAGCCGGGCCTATGATGTCCTCCTGGACGAGTTGGTCCTCCCTCCCTCGGCTCCTGGAGGAAAAGTAGAGTTCCGGCGGTCCCTGACTCTCAGCTTCCTCTTCAGGTTTAACCTGGAGGTCCTGCACAAGCTCAGAGAAATGGTAGGACTCTACAGTGAGTTAAAAAAAAAAAAAAAGGCCACCAATGTAAATTCCTCCCTGGTGGAATGAAATGCAGCACGGTAGATGCTGCAGGATATTGACACAAGAGTTTTTACAGCGTGTGATCACAGATGAGCTTCATGAGAGGATCCAGCCTTTGTCCAGAGAGATCCAGCCCAGCCTGCAAGAAGTTAAGGTCAGTGTGTGTGTGTGTGTGTGTGTGTGTGTTCCTGTATCTTAAATATGAGAGACTGTGACATAAAGCTGACTGCTTCCCCTTCTCCCTCTGCAGCATGTGCCAAAGGGCCAGAGCGACCAGGACCCGGTGGGGCGTCCCATCATGCATCGCTCTGCCATCAGCCAGGCCACAGGTGAAGCCATCTACTGCGACGACATCCCCACGACAGACGGGGAGCTCTTCCTGGCTCTGGTCACCAGCTCTCGAGCACACGCTAAGATCACGTAAAGAGACAGTGACGCTCCTCTAATGCTAAATCTCCACGTCTGGTTCTAAAGGTGTCTTTTTGTCCGACAGAGGGCTGGACGTGAGCGAGGCTCTGCAGCTTCCTGGCGTTGCCGACGTCATCACGGCCAGAGATATTCCTGGGAAGAAAGTCCGTACATTATTTGGTTATGACGAGGAGCTGCTCGCTGAGACGGAGGTAAAGAACAGCTCCAAAAAGAAGAATATATCCTTCAATAACATTTCACAATACATAACTGGATATGCAGTATTATTCACTGTACCAGTAAATTCAATTTCAAGGCCCTGGTGAAAACTGTGATCAGATGCTGTGATCATCTTGTTTTAATATCTACAGTAGAATTGTCTCCGCGTGTTTTCAGGTGTCCTGCATCGGTCAGATGATCTGTGCGGTGGTGGCTGACACGAGGGCCCACGCCAGACGGGGCGCAGCGGCCGTGAAGATCAGCTACGAAGACCTGCCGGAGCCTGTGTTCACCGCAGAGGTCTGTGGCGTCCTGCTCCGCCGCTACCGTCACTGAAATCATCCAGCATTCACCGTCAAATCCTCTCCTCTGCATCATTTTGTACATGTTTCCTTCTGTATCAGCCTGATACGTTGGTGTCTTTTAATGCTTTGGAGCTTTGGAAATTTGAACGGTGCTCGGCTGCACAACGTTGTAGGAACAGTGCCCTTAGTTTTCCGTGTCTTTTCAGTGTGGATTCACCCTTTAAACGACACGTCTGTGATCTCAGGTAAAAAGTGTGTACGTTTTCATTTCCCCTGGTGTTTGTCCTCCGTCACCGTGGCAGGAAGCCGTTGAAAAGTCGTCGTTCTTTGAGCCACGGAGGAGGATCGAGAGAGGAGATGTAGACGAGGCTTTTAAAAGTGTCGATCAGGTTTATGAAGGTAAAAATATTCTTTACTTAACACCACAATGCATGAGTTTTATCTGAGCTAAAACAGAACCATGCTTTTGACCTTTTTCATTTTTCTCATCTGTTTGTGTGTGTTTTCCTCAGGAGGGATGCGACTGGGCGGCCAGGAGCACTTCTACATGGAGACGCAGAGCATGCTGGTTGTTCCTGTCGGTGAGGAGACGGAGTTCAACGCTTACGTCTCCACCCAGTGGCCGACTTCAACTCAGGTACACGGAGACACCTGGACACTGGCAGCTGTTGTCCTTCCTTCAGTGACCCAAGATCTAATTTTTGACCTGAATATAGAGGAGCTGTTGACTTTTAATAACCTAACCTGGAGTCTGCTGATCGACTGTGACTCGGAGCTAAATGTAAACCTGGGCCTGGATTCTGACTTATACTCATTTCTTGGATGCAAAAATTTGAGACCTTTGATTAAAGCTTCTCATATTTCAGAATAATAGTGATTATTATAAAATGTTGAGAGTTTAATAACATGGCTGAAAGAGAAAATCAGAGCCGAAGAGGATCTGTTTGTTGCAGGACGCAATTGCGGAGACGCTGGGCATCCCGTCCAACAGAGTCACCTGTCACGTCAAGAGGATCGGCGGCGCGTTTGGAGGGAAGGTCACCAAGACCGCCATCCTGGCTTGCATCACCTCTGTGGCTGCGTGGAAGTAAGTCACGACAGACTGGATTTTCCTGACGACTGAAAAACAACAAACAGGATCAGAAATTTCTTTTCAGACGAAAGAATTGGTGAAAACAAAACAGAAAACAGTAGTTAAATGCGGCTTTTAATTTAGTTGTATAAACCAGGATGAGATGATAGAAATCAAGAAAGGCCGGGAGAGTTGATGTTTTTAAATCTTCTGTTCAGGACCAGTCGTGCAGTCCGCTGTGTTCTGGAGCGAGGCGAGGACATGTTGATTACGGGAGCACATCACCCCGTCCTGGGAAAGTACAAGGTTCAACAACACACTTAAAAACACAATGAAAGAAAAACAACCAAAATCTGGAATACAAGATTTTTTTAAGATAAACAGTCTGTGAAGGAAATACTATGTGATCGGGCTGTTGGACATGATCCAAACAGTTTTTCTTTGATGATCTAACGTGGTGAAGTTGTGGTTTTGGTCGACTGCTGTTTGTTTCAGGTGGGTTTCATGAATGATGGGAGGATCGTGGCTGCAGATATCCAGTACTACACCAACGCTGGCAACACTGTGGATGAATCTGTTCTGGTCAGTAAAAGAGATTTTACTTGTTTCTGCATTTTCAAACCACAAAATCATAAAATGTAAATCACTGATTTTCTTCTTCTTCTTCTTCTTCTTCTTCTTCTTCTTCTTCTTCTTCTTCTTCTTCTTCTTCTTCTTCTGCAGGTGGTTGAGAAGATTCTGCTTCACATGGACAATGCCTACAACATCCCCAACCTGCGAGGCCGTGCTGCCGCCTGCAGGACCAACCTGCCCTCCAACACCGCCTTCAGGGGCTTCGGCGTGCCCCAGAGCATCATGGTTGTGGAGAACATGGTCAACGATGTTGCTGTAGTGCTGGGACGCCCCGTCGACCAGGTTGGACGCCGTCTTGTCTTGCTGTGCACTCGATGATAAAGAGACAAGTGTCCGTATCTTACTTTTAATTAAAGATTTAATTCCTGTTTTCAAATTCATCAGGTTCGAGAGATCAACATGTACAAGGGGCCGTCGGTCACCCACTACAAGTTTGAGTTCAGCCCGGAGAACATGCTGCGCTGCTGGGAGGAATGTAAAGCCAAGTCTGACTATGGCGCCCGCCGCCGAGCCATTGACCAGTTTAACCAGCAGAGCCGCTGGAAGAAGAAGGGCATGTCCATCATTCCCATCAAATACGGCATCGCGTTTGCTGAGAGCTTCTTAAATCAGGTCTCTGGGATCCAGATTTTATCAGGGGGGCATCCACCTGGTTTTTGTTTTTGGATATTAGTAGTTGAAATGAAGAAGAACAGAAGATGATGCCAGTTTTAGTCTGTGGTTTAGTTGATGAGTCTATTGTTAAAAAGTTTAGTCATGTGAGTGTTTTTCTTGTCTGCATGTTTGTGCAACAGGCTGCAGCTCTGGTCCACATCTATAAAGACGGCTCTGTGCTGGTCACTCACGGGGGGACGGAGATGGGTCAGGGGATCCACACTAAGATGCAGCAGGTACTGTGACACAGCACTGAGGTCACTGAGGTACAGCAGTTATAATACTGCAGGTACAATGTTTGGAAGAATATCCAATAATAACCTTAGAAATATGGTGTCTCTTACCTTCAAAGCCGCCTGGCTCTCCAACAGTGACATAAATAATTGAAAACTTAATTTCCAAATATATCAAAAGGTTCTAACATTAAAGAAAAAGTGCGTTAGTTGTAATTTAGAAATTCACTTTAGTGACATTCCTTAATTAGGGGTCAGGAGAGATTCTGTGCTTCTTCAGCCTGATACGTCTTATTCCTCTGAGCCATCATTGTTTCCAAAAACACCTCACTGTTTCACTGGGTGACCTTCATCACCACGAACACACATACACTTTCCTGCTGCCCCACATACTCACTAAAGCACCAAATGAGTATTAATCCACCACTGAAAATAGTCCCTAACAATTGCACACTCTTCATTAGGAAAGATCGGACTTGGATTGCAGGTATTATTTTGAAAGCTGAGGGTCTGTTTCCTGTGTGCTGATAGGTTGCGAGCCGGGAGCTTCATATCCCGCCCTCCAAGATTTACATCAGTGAAACCAGCACCAGCACGGTTCCCAACACCTGCCCCTCCGCTGCGTCCTTCGGCACCGACGCCAATGGCATGGCAGTCAAGGTAAAGTCCAGCTCCTGCAGTAAACTGTTCGATGAATATTATGGTCTGTGTTTTTGATTCGCTCATATAAAAACGACACACTGACAATAAAACAAATATTATTTTCAATTTCTCTCATTCAGAATGCATGCCAGACTCTGTACCAGCGCCTGGAGCCACTCAGGCAGAAGGACCCCAAAGGATCATGGGAGAGTTGGGTATGATTTGACATGGAAACCTGGGAAAATGCAGCATTATAATCAACACCAGCCAACAGAGAAGGATCTATGTGTTTTTGTCTCCTGTTCTCAGGTCCGAGCAGCCTTTTTTGAGAAAATCAGTTTATCAGCGACTGGATTCTACAGGTGAGACAGATTCAAACTTTATCCCACTGAAATAATTAATGTAATGAGTCAAGAATCAGTGATGGCTTCCTGTGTGTCCTCAGAGGTCCAGACCTTCATATGGACTGGGACAAGATGGAGGGTCAGCCTTATGCTTACTTCACATATGGAGCGTGTTGCTGCGAGGTGGAGCTGGACAGCCTCACAGGAGACTACAGGGTCAGAGGTCACGCCTTCAATCTTCCTTACAAACATCAGACAAGGCTGAGAGAATGATGTTGTTGTTTTTTTTTGTTTTTTTTGCTTCTTGCAGACCGTGAGGACGGACATCGTGGTCGACATCGGCAGGAGCGTGAACCCGTCTGTGGACATCGGACAGGTGAGACCAGGTTGTCACACCTAAAGGATGTGGGTCCTGGTGGAGCAGTGAGCTTGACCACAGCAGGGGGCGCGTTTTATTTTACACTTTGCTGCAATAGAAAAAAAAATCCAGTAACCGCTCATTTTGCATGTTGCGTCAGATTGAAGGAGCCTTCATGCAGGGTGTGGGTTTCTACACTCTGGAGGAGCTGCAGTTTTCCCCCTCTGGGCTCCTGTACACTCGAGGTCCGTCTCAGTATAAGATCCCTGCAGTGTGCGACGTGCCGCTTCAGTTCAACGTCTATCTGCTGTCGGACTCCCAAAACCCCCACGCCATCTACTCCTCAAAGGTCAGAGGTCGTCACGGCTGTTAAAATGAGGACTTATCCCCAAGATATCAAAATAAAATTAACCGATATACACCTGTTGTGACTGCTTCAGTCTCCGCCGCCAAGCAACCTTCCTGATGATCCTCTCTCTCTCTGCAGGGCATCGGAGAACCCGTCCTCTTCCTCGGCAGCTCTGTGTTCTTCGCCATCAAAGACGCCGTAGCCGCGGCGCGCTCGGAGTCCGGTCTAGTCGGCCCGTTTTCCCTGGACAGCCCTGCGACACCAGAGAGGGCCTGTCTGGCCTGTGCCTCCCTGTTCACTCAGAAGGTAATAATACTGAAACCATCCACTGTGATCTGTATCTTTTCAAAGTTCCTGTGTTTCTCCCAAAATGTTCCTTTGGACTAAAACCAAACTGATGAATTAAGACACTTCATTCAGTGACAGGAGGAATACATGGACGCATTCAGCCTTTAAAGTAATTATTAATTCAATGGAAATAATGAAATGATTGAATAGATTAATATTCAAGGAAAAGAAAAGATTCTGCCTGCTTATCCAGCCCGTTCATCTCAGGACCTGCACAGGTTTTATCTGATATTTAGTTAAATTCCAATATGGATGACGAGACAAAACTGACACACAGGAAGCTACTGTACAAAACACTTTATTTATTTTCCCTGAGTGAAATTAATCAGATTTAATCCAGATGAAGGAAGCAAACTTAATCAAAATAAAGGGAATATGTGAAATCACTGAAATCAGTTCTTTGTTAATAATAGAAAATAGGAAAAGTTCACATGTTGCAGCAATAAAAATGAATTATTCATTTCTGATGTTTTTTTTGTTTGTTTTATTTTGTTTCCAGATTCCAGCCAGCAAACCAGGATCTTTTAAACCGTGGGCCTTGAACATCTAAAACTTTTCAAAAGATGTTTTTAATATAATCAAACTAAAGTTAAACTGACTATGAACTAAATGAACTAAACAGTTACTAACTAATACAATTATGTTACAAATAATCCAGAAAATATCTTAACATACAAACAAATGTTACTTTTGACTGATGTTATTTTGCACATTTATCCTAATTATCAACCATGTATAATGTGAAATAAATGCACTTGATTCTACAGCACATTTGAATGTTTTTGTCTCACACCATCACTATTTCAACAACACAATAAACAATTTAACAAATACCGAATATATTATATAAATCTAGTGTTTCATCTGTAGCTGAAAAAACACTAACGACAAGAAATGACAAACTCCAACTATCTGAATCCACACTAAAAAAGATCCATAATTATTGGCAAACTAACACTGATCTATCTTCTTGTGGGCCGAGGATGATCACACGCGGACGCACCACGGAGTCGCGGTCCCGTCCATCGGAGATGACGCCTGCAAGAGCGACAGGAAATCAGGTGCTTGACAGGAAAAGGTTCGGAGATGCAAATAAGGGCGACAACATCTGGGACATTATAAGAGGCAAACATCTGGCCTCACCTGCAGTTCTTTTTCAGCCTGCCTTTTTAGTAGATACAGTATGTGAATTGCATCATGAAGCAGTTTCAACACAGACATTTTGCAGGATTTCACTCAAGTCAGTTGCATTACTTCATTCTCTAATGCTTCTGTCCACTAGTTGTGCATTAGACACATTTCACTGTGACACAGTGCAGTGTTGCCATGGCTCCACAGTCCAAACAGCCAACAGCGGCATGTCTGGACAGGCACATGTTGCTCTCATTTACAAGTGAGTGCAGAAGTGGAGTCCTCTGGTTCCAGTGAGTTTTAGCATCATTTCTGACATCGGTTTTTACAGCCTGTTAAAACGTAACAAGTCTGACTTAGTTTGAAAAATACTACTTCTTAAACCTGGCTTCTCAGTTTTGTACCATTTCCGTGAACCGGTCCTGACAGGCCATGCGGATCTTCTCAGCTGTGGCGGGGGAGCTCAGAGGGAAAGTGTCACCCAGTCCTCTCTCCTTGCGTGCCGCTGTGATGGCCGCTTTGATGGCAAAGAAAATAGTGGAGCCGAAGAAGACTGGAGGCTCACCTATGCCCTGGAGCAAGAAGACATTCAGCAGTGCGCTTAAGGTTTCATCAAGACTTTTAGATGAATTTCACTTTTCGTGTCATATTACACTTGTTCTGTGGGCAAGTGTGTGGGTGTTTGAGGGAGTACCTTGGACAGGTAGATGGCTCGTGGATTTCCGGCGTTGGCGAGCAGATGAACGTTGAGCTCGGCCGGGACGTCACAGAGCGCTGGGACCTTGTACTGAGACGGTCCCCTGGTCATCAGGACCCCGTCTGAGGAGAACTGCAGCTCCTCGATGGTGTACAGGCCGACGCCCTGAACGAAGCCTCCCTCCACCTGGTAAACATCCCGCACAGGTGCGACTTATCAAGAGAACATGTTAACATAGTGCCGGCCTACTACAGGACACGTGACTTTAACCGAGGGCATCAGCTCAGGCTGTAAAGTTGAGAGAATATTAGATAAATGCATCAGAGGTTGGAAGGTTTGGTTTTCCTGGTGAAATTCCCTCAGTATGTTCCCTCTGAAACTGATACTGAAACATCAGAGTTACACATGAGTAAATACAAACATTTGGTGTCTGGGTTGAGCTAATGTTTCCACAGTTCCTGGAACTTTTAGGCCAAAAATGTGAGGAGGAGGAGGAGAAGTTGGAGGTGGGGGTGTCGTATGGGTACCTGTCCAATGTCCAAAGCAGGATTGATGCTTTTCCCAACATCCATCACGATGTCTGTGCGGATGTTCTGCAACAAACACAACAAGACGTGTGGCCCATTACCATCATTAAATCTCATTTTAATTATGGAATATGCATTTTATTTGATTTTATTTTTTTGATTTGTGGGAATTGACTGAAGTGGAAGAAACCTTGTGATCCCCAGTGAGACAGTCGATCTCCACCTCAGAGCAGCAGGCGCCAAATGTGAAGTAATAGTACGCTTGACCTTCACCCTTCTCCCAGTCCACATCGGTGGGTGGTCCCCTGCGACACACACACACACACACACACACAGATCCAGAACAAGTTACAGGAGAATACAGGCCTGAATTACGGTGATGCAATCAGACAATTCAGACAAAGTAACATACGTAAAGAATCCAGTTGCAGATAAGCTGATCTTCTGGAAGAAAGCCTTGTTGACCTGCAAGAGAGAAATTAACATCCACTGTCATTTGCTGATTCATTTGTTCCAATTTAAGTTTAAAAAGCAGTAACAAAAGTTTCACTGACTTATTGAAATATTAAAGTTTGTTACTTTGCACGAAATTACAGGAGCAAATAATTTCACTCAGGTGTGAAAAACTAGTTTTTAATCTCTGAAGTTTTGCAAAGCATTGTCGTCTTTTACGTTTTTGCTCACCCATTGCTTCCATGTGTCTGTGGGATTCTTCTCCATCAGTGGTTGCAGGCGCCTCATCAGCTTCTCACAAGCATCCTGTTTTAAATGTTTTAGTATCTGTGTGAAACGCTTTACTTTTTGACTGGAACCACTGAGCACAACTGACTAATCCTGCATCACCCCTCTGAGCAAAGCCATTTCTTAAGACTAAGCAGACGTAGCTACCTTGACAGCCATGCCCACAGCGTCGGTGCCAAAGGAAGCGGCCGACGGTGCCGCGTTGGGGACGTTTCCTGTACACGTCTCTTTGATGAAGATGGAGGACATGGGGACCCTGAGGACACGGCTCGCTATCTGGAACACCGGGTAAGAATGCAAGTGAAGTAATGTTGTGTCTTTACTTCATTTAGAGGCCTACCAGAAGTACAGTGCATCAGAAGCTTCAATCTCACCTGCGTGGCCTTGGTGTTGATGCCCTGACCCATCTCCGTCCCTCCGTGTGTCACCAGCACTGAGCCGTCTTTGAAGATGTTCACCAGAGCTGCACCCTGGACAACACAGATGAATCAAAGACCGGATTCACAGTAACCGTAACCACGTCTTAAAAAACCTAAGCCAGTACAGAAATACAGTCACTGGTTTCCAATGGAAATCAACTTTAAGAAGTTAAAGAATGACATTTAACTATGTGGTGTTTGAAACCTGTTAATTATTTTTCTTATAATCTGTTTTGTTTTATGTTTTTAATGAATTCAGCTTTGGGAAACAGCAATGGCAAAAGTGGAATTACCTCAGAACTGTCAGAATTAGGACTGAATAACATCAAATCAGACCCCTCACCTGGTTATAGAAACCTTTGGAGAAGCCGACACCAAATTTCTGCGGCACGGCAGCGATGCCTCTCTTCTTCCAGCGGTTGGAGGAGTTGAAGAGTCGGATGGCTCGGAGTCGGTCCTGGTAGTCGGCTCTCTCCAGACACTCGTCCCAGCAGCGAACCATGTCGGTGGGGCAGAAGGGCTGCTTGTAGTGGGTGTAGCACTGCTGCTCCCTGTACATGTTTATCTCTCTGACCTGGAGGGAAATGACACAGCAACTATCCAGCAATACAGCAACTGATCCCCTTTAATAACCGATTTCTCTCTTGTTAAAACCTCTCGAGCAAACAAGCCCAGGGCCCCACCCCCCAGTGACCTCTGACCTTTTCAGGAGGCAGGCCACAGCGAACAGCCACCTCATGCAGGACGCTCTCGATCACCGTGAGTCCCTGAGGACCGCCGAAGCCGCGGAAGGCCGTGTAGGACGGCAGGTAGGTCTTACACACCACACCCTGACCTCGCAGGTTGGGGATCTTGTATCCGTTGTCCATGTGGAGCACAGCTTTGTCCATGATCTGAAACAGAAAAGTTTTTGTCTCTTTACCTGAACAATGATTGATATCACATAATATACATTTTTATGATGGACAAAATGAGCAGAGGTTCGCAGCTCTTTGCTTTTTATTCTTTTATGAATGGATAAATAGTTTGGAGATACTCGGTCTGTAACATTTATATTGATTGATATCGTTGATTTACATTGTAGTTATTCTTATTATCTCAGATGGTTCATGTTTAATACAGAGAAGTTGAACAGACCGTCCATGTCTCTGTTAACTTACGAACGCCGACTCGTCCAGTGTGCATCCTCCGTTGCTGTAGTAAATAACGTCTGCTGCTACGATTGTGCCGTCGCTGTTGTATCCAACCTGGAGACGGAACAGAGGAGGCCACTGTCATTACATCCAGTTTAAACCCAGTGGTTCAACTCCCTTATTTGTAAATAGTTTACAGTAAAGATCCAGCTAAAATTCTTCAGTTGTAGATTTCACTCAGTGCAAATAACTTCAATCACATTTAAAAGATGTATTAATAATAACTCTGATTTAGAGAAGCATCCTTTAAACAACTGAGTTGGTGTTTACAACAAAAATCACACAACAATGATTTTAGAATCTGTTAAAACATTACATATTACATTATTACATGAAACTTTATTTAAAGGATTTTGCACAAGCAATGTAACAAATACTGAATATATCAAATAAATCCAGTGTTCTGTTGCTGAAAAAACACTAATAACACATTGACATTATACCTTGTACTTCCCGAGGAACGGGTGTCTGCCACTGGTGATCAGCATGTCTTCACCTCGGTCCAGACAGCAGCGTACAGCTCTCCCAGTCCTCGAAAATACAACCGCACAATTCACAAATGACACAATTCCCCTGACGAGCAGAGAGCACATCTGTGTCTGAAGTGGACTCTTCATACTTGCGTGCTGCGACTGCAGTGATGGCAGAGAGGGAGGCGATCTTCATGACCTTTCCTCCGAACCCTCCGCCCAGCCTCTTCACGTGACAGGTGATCTTGTTGGAGTCGATGCCCAGTGCCGCGCCGACCAGCTCCTGGCGCAAAGACACAGAACTGCTCGGTCAGTTTCAGGGGATGGTTGTCAATGAACTGTGACACGGGAAAACCACGACTTGATCTTTGTCTCTTGACCTGAGTGAGGGCAGCGTGCTGAGTGCACACAAACAACTCCATCTCTTCATTTTCTCCTGCGGGAACAGCGATCACTCCCTGAGTCTCCATGTAGAAATGCTCCTGACCGCCCATGTAGAGCTCATCTGCAGACAACATCACATATTAAACCGTAAAGAGCAGGAAGACATTTTTATAATATGTAAGATTTAATATGTCACAGTGAAGGTGGTTTACCCTCCAGAACATGTTCAGCTCTCTTTAAAGCTTCGTCCACATCCCCTCTCTCCACCTTCCTCTTGGGTTCAAAGTAAGACTTGTGCTTTATGGCGTCCTGGAGGATAAAACAAGACAGAGTTCAAATGAAGTCTCTTTTAAACACCTCAGGACAGTGAATTGTTGTGTATGGCACCTCTATGGTGAAGAAGACGGGCTGCAGGTCCTGGTAAGTGACCCGGACCCTCTGAGCTGCTCTCCTGGCCTCCTCCCTGCTCTCTGCCACCAGGGCACCAATGATCTGACCCACACAAAGCACCTGCAAACATTTTGAAACACATGCTGTTTATCACAAATATGATAATACAGCATATGAAGGCTGTATTTTGGTTGTATTTGTTGATTGGTATCATCTATCTCTGATATAAAGGAAATTCCAAGTTAAAGATTGTTTTTTTTGTCATTTGCATAACTCCAAATGTAAGTTATTACTATTAACTTAAATTAATAGATTCTACCCCAAACTTTTGATTCCATTTAGAGCTGTAATTTGTTATTATTTTGTATGAATTAATTGTTTATTATTTGTCACTTGGTCTATAGAATGTTAGAAACACACTTTCCCAGAATCCAAAGTGACATCCTTCTTACATCTGAAAGAGTGAAACCAGCAAATGTGTCATTTCATTCAAGTAAATGAGTAATTGATTATCAAAATTGATGATGGTTGATTTTCTTCATCCAATCTTTTTGTAGTAAAAAGAAATTGCAGGTTAATCTTGTTTATTGGCATGAAAAATCTCTGATAATTGTGTTGTTCTTAGTTGTTTTCTTCCTGGACATGAATGTAGTGTGTGACGAGCAGATTTCAGGACCTCCTCCTCAGCGAACAGCTCCTCTGGGTTGTTGAACCAGAGTCTGCGGTTCGACCCGGGAACGTCTCCAGCAGAGACAAACGTGACCACACCGGGCATTTCCAGGGCCTCAGATGGGTCGACGTTCCTGGTTTATGAAGAGAGACACAACACTGAGACAGTAACAATAAGACAGTAAATGATTAAAGTGAGTCATTTTTGTCTGATGGTTCAAAGTGCTGGGGCTGTAGTTCTCTGATATGACCACCAGAGGGTGTGATATCACTTTTAATCAACTAAAGCTTTGGCTCCCAGATAGAGAGTGATACTGACATGATTTTGGCGTGGGCTCTGCTGCTTGTCACCATGACGATGAAGAGCTCTCCCTTGACGGGTGGCAGGTCGTCATAGTACTTGGCTTCACCTGTGGCTTGCTGGAAAGCAGACTGATGCATGCTGGGACGGCCCACGGGGTCAGCGGAGGGCTGGGCCTCTGAGACGAGCTGTGGATGAATGGGACAGAGCGGTCTGACAGCTGATTTGTTTGATCAGATAAATAAATGAGTGTTACATGGAGCGAATGCAGCACAGAGGAGGCTTTGTTGGATTCAGTTAGCCTCAGTTCAGTGGACGTGTGAAACAAACACACACTGAAGGTTTCATTTTCCTTCTGCCTGTGATCCACTCCCACGCCCCAGGCTGAGATATCACAATTTCTCTTTCAAAATAAAATTGAAGTTTTCAACTGTAATAGGAAAAAACACTTCACTGCACTAACAGCACATTTAACCACCCAAGAGACATTTAAAAAACAATTCATTATTACATAATTACGCAATATAAGAAGACACAAAATAGAGTAAAACCTTAAAATGATAAAATATGAATTAGTAGTTATAGTGAATAAAAGTTAATGTCATTACATTACTCATACAGACCATTATCTAGGATCTCTGCACCAACCTGGTAGGACTGTTGCCCCCGGGGCATCTCGTTCTTGAAGGGCTTGAGTGCGCTGAGATACTCCAGGGGAAGATCAACATCTGAAACACCCTAAAATGGTTGCATTCAAATCAACAGTTGCTGTTCTATAGATGAAAATGTTTAGACATATTAAGACTTGGTTGTTATTGCGAGTTTTCCTACCCTCTCTGTCATCTCCAGGACGACCTGCATGTAAAACTTGAAGAAGAAGCTGATGGCGAGGCTCTTGCGATACTCTGCCCTCCCCCCGTGGATCGATGGAGAAACGTCCACATCTTCCTTCAGGAAGCGACAGGCTTCAGAGAGAAGATCTTCCCCCCACGACCTGGAGGACAGCACAGTTACCTCTGTTACAGCCCTGAATACTCTGCAGGCAAGTTACTGAAGGTAAATGAGGCAAAGTAGCATCTGCAGCTGAATCTAAATGTGGGTCTTTTTGGTATGAACCATCTCAGATGTTCTGGCTGCTGGCCAGATGTCAGCATCCATCTGACCAACTGAAATGCAAACATACTGTCCGACAAGCTGCTTGCACGTCTGTCCAGGTTTGACCAGAGTCGATCCAACTCCACCATAGTAGATGCTGAGCGACTCCACGATGTCTGTTCCCGCCCTAATGGCCACCTTCATCCCAGCGTTCACAAAGGAGAAGGCAAACTCTCTTCTCTGGGCCTGTCGATACGCCGCCACAAACTCCCACTGAGGACACAACAGAGCCACACAGTGTCAGACAAGAGGAGGTAGAGTCTTGCCTGAACGTGAGAGGCAGCTGAAGATGGAATATGTGAGCTGTGAATGTTAAAGCAGCAGGTCTCACAGGTTTGGAGAAGGGGATGTGGATGGACAGCAGGACTTCATCAGGCCTGAGCGCTGTTTTTCCAAAGCCAGTGAAGAGTTTATCGTTCAGGGGGACGCTCCTCGTCCCATCTGGAGAAAAACACAAGGAAACAGTTTATGTTTCTGTCTGAGGACAGACAGAAAAACAAGAACAAGCCCAGGTAAACATGGATGTGTTATTTGACCTAGTCAGGGCATTTATGAGCCTCTTTACCTTTGGAGATGACGTGCAGAGTGCAGTCCAGAGCAGCAAGAACGCTGCTGAGGTCGTACTTGGGATTGGCACTGAGGAGATTCCCACCAATAGTCTGAAAAGACAATTTTAGATTAGTGACTTAATAAATGAGTCTTCTACTACAGTGCTTCATATCTAATATTAGCTTTGATACTTCAAATCCAAATGTTGTGGGGATTGATAAAGAAAATCCCGTTCAGGACCAGTTAGTGCAGCAGAGTCGACCTGATTTTATTTAGCGGACCTACCGCCATGTTGCGTATCTGTTTCCCCGCCAGACACTGAAGCGTCTGCAGCATCGCCCGGTATCCTCTGGTCCTCTCCTCCTCCATCTCCACCACGGCCCTCCCCACCTCCTCCTTCAGCGTGCTGAGGCTGCAGGCAGCTCCCACTGTCAGACCTGCAGGACAGGTGAGGACGACAGGTGGGAACACATACAGAGAGATTGTTTTGTGCAAGTTGGTTTGTTGAGTCACGAATTGCCTGGTAACAGTGAGGCTATGCAGAGAGGCCTAACAACAGAGAGCAGAGCTTCAACCAACCGCTGCTCCCCCAGCTCACAGCTCTCAGCTCAGAAATCCTCCCAGCGTAGACCACCAGAGGATGATGGACTCCTTTTAGAAGCATCTTCGGCCCTGGTAAGGAAGATTCATAATGAGTTTTTCTTTTTTTTTTTTGGCAAAATATGAGCATACTGAGCATCCAGATGGACAGCGGGGGTTTAGGTGTTTGGACATATGTTTCAGCTGTGAAAACCAAAGTCAGCGTATGTTTACCGAAGGTTGTGTTGCCGACGACCAGAGGAGCTGAAGGGTGTTCGGCTTTCAGCTCCAGGAGGTACGACAGCTCAGACGGAGCGACCAAATTCACCCTCTGTCCTTGGAAGTAAAGAGCACCTCCACTCAGTTTCTTCTCCATAATCTACAACAGAATGGAAAATTCACATCAGGGAGGGAGCTACATTAATGTAATTATCTTTTTTAGTTCAAATAAAAAAGAATCACCATCAGCTCTGGAGGGAAGATAAGATCCTGAGAAGGGTCCAGAGGTAAAAAATCATCCATTGGGAAAAGTTCCTGAGAGATCTGACAAACACGAGACAGAACTTTTACTGTCACATCCAGAATCCAATCAAATTAGCATGTTTTGACTTCACATGTTTTGACCTCACATCACTTTCCCCGCTGTTCGCTCTGTTTTCCATACAGCATTTCCCTGCTCCTCCTCCATTTTGGCAGCAGCCAGATCTCTGTTGAAAATATTCATTTCACTACCAGTTATTTTACCATCGTGACGTGTTTATAACTGTAATGGATAAATCATCTCAGTTTTGAGTTATTATATTTCAGTTTGTGGTATTTTATGTGGAAAAACTGGGTGTAAGTGATGAACACAGGTTTCAGCATTTACCTCACTTCCACAAAAAGTCTTAAATCCATCAATTATCGGCCTGTAGCCTGTGCAGCGGCAAAGATTCCCTACAAAATAAAAACGAGATCATCAGTTAATGCAAAAGGACTGTAGAGCTTGTGACAGTTTTACAGCTCAAACAGCACTGATAACGATTTCATCTGCATCTGTCAGTAGCTTGTCAGCCAGCCGTTTACCTCCAAGGGCCTCCCTGATGTCGTCCATGCCGGGCTGAGGTTTGTTCCTCAGCAGAGTGTACATGGACATCACCATCCCCGGAGTGCAGAAGCCACACTGGGAGCCGTGAGCCTTCGCTATTCGCTCCTGCACGTCAGAGGAGTGGAAAACAATGAGGTGTTACAACAGCGTAGAATAAAAACAGCGGTGGGTCAGAGAGACCTCTTACCTGAACAGGGTGGAGTTTGGTCTTGGTGCTGCCGACGCCTTCGACCGTCACCACAGCAGCGCCGTGCAGGGTGACGATTGGCTGCAGACAGGCGGTGACAGTATAGTGTCTGCATGGTTCAAAGGTCATGGATACAGAACTCTTTTTTTGATTTTCTTTTTTTCAGCCTCAAAGTTTAAACCCAAACTAGGTAAGACATTTACATAAAAAAAATTACACATTTTTAGTGTTAGAAAAAGTTAGTGTTAAAAAACAAATGTCTAAAATGAAAATAAAAACAGGTATAATCATATTTACATGTAAACTAAAACCCTTTTGAAGACACTGGACCTTTTCCAATGAAGGCAAGTATCATCTAAAGTTATGAAAGCGCATAATCATCTTGTGAAAGTACAGAAGGATACACGACTCTTTCCTGGTTACAGTCGTATCTGGACACCATGACAGTGCAGGCTCCACATCCTCCACCTCCACAGCCGTACTTAGTACCAGTCAGACCAACTGGTGGACAGAAGAGGACAGGCTGGGCATTACATGTGAATAATAGTACAATAATCATCCATTCAAGTCACTTAGTAATTGCATCTTTAATTAAACCCAAAAATACTTACTAGTAGCTCAAATTATTTATATTAAATTTTAAAACAAACTCAATGAACACTTATTACATTATATTTAAATAATAAATCTTCACAAGTACTTTACAGAGTGTCATATAATACATTTAAATACATTTTATTAATGATATTCCTCATCTAATTTTATTTAATTATAAAACAACCTGCAATGGGCTCTAACATCATGGTTTTATGATACAGGTGTTTTTGGCTTTATTTTGAAATGGCTGAAGAACAGATGAGAATAAAATCAACCTTTTCTCCTCAGAAAGCCGAGCAGCATCTCCTCTGGATCTGCATTCTTCTCTACAACCTGGAAGACAGGAAGGAGGGAAGTAAAGACAAAGAAGAAAGGAAGAGGAAGAAGGAAAAGAAACAGATAAAAGCAGTAAAGATGGGAAAGAAAGAGAAAACATACAGAAAATCAAGAAGACATGAAATCACAATCAAAAAATGGAGAAAAAATGTGAAGGGACTCAAATAAAGTTATACGGTGTGAAAAGTAATGCAAAGAAAAAAATGAGTAGAAGAGGAGTAAAGACTCAAAAATAGTAGAAAGCCAAAACATGAATCTACACATTAAAGTCAGTACATCATTCCTTCATGGGTTTCAGCTGTGAGCATCAGCTCTGCATCAGGTGACCTCATGTATGTGTATATATATGACCTTAGGGACATTTAACTCTTTGTGTTACAATTGATCACAGTGTGCGACTAATGTGTGTGACAGGTCACAGGTGGAGCTGCAGTCTGCTGACCCAGCTGACTCTAATAGCCTCTACTTAGCCCTCTATTATGAGATAAAGGAGAGAGATGAAGCATTTAGTTGACCAGGCATGATTAAAAAAAGATTTAAAAATAGGTTAATTAACAGCTTTTATTTTGTGAACTGTTGTATATCTTTAGTTGTTTACTGAATAAAAATCTTTACAGGAAGTATGAAGCTGGGGCCAGGAGGCTATTAGCTTAGCTTAGCATAAGGACTGGAAGCAGAGGGGGAAACAGCTAGCCGGGCTGCATTTAAAGTTCAAAGACCTGCCTATCAGCATCTCTGAAGCTCATTAATTACCTCATATTTCTGTTAAAACAAACAGGAATGTAAAAATGACAATATGGGGGTTTACAGAGAGTTACATGGTGTGAGTGTTTCATGCCAACAGGCTACCTCTTTCCCCCTGATCACAGTCTTTTTTTAAAGCTAAGCTAATCTTGCCTTAACCTTGAAAGTATCTGTAACTTAAGACTTAAGTGTTTTATTTTGACAAGTTTACATCATGTGATATTACTTGAATATCGTTACAGGAAATTACTGAATCAAAGAGATGAAACACAGATTTTAGACTTTTTTAACCTTAAATTCATTGATTACAGTAGTAGCTAATTAATGTAAGTAAATAGTTTGATGAATGCTCTCACCTTCTTGCCATTGACAAAGATGATCAGCTCACTTGGTGAAGACATACTGCGGAGAGTAAACTGTCACCGGTTGACAGGCAGGTCAGTATGAAACTGAATTTTTGGTTGTCATGTCTTTAAGTACTGAATCACATCACTTCATGTCACATGGCCTTTAGGCTGACGAATCAATCAGGTCCAGTTCCTAAAGCCTCACAGCACAACCTCAGTTACATGAAATAAAGTATGTGTGCTCTCATGACCTTTGTCTTTATTGTTCTGATTCATTGTTTTGTTTTCCTGATTCAGCCCAAAGTAACTGTTATACACAGATGATATATTCAATTGTAAACCTCCCAATGGTATTCACTTTATAATGATATTAAACAGAGACAAGCATCAAATCCTCACATCTGACAGCAGTTCTCTGACAGAGTATAGGTATGAAAAAGAAAATAGAAACAGTCAAGTAAAGTACAAGTACTTCAAGGCTAAGCATGAGTGCAGTACTTGAGTAAATGTACTCGCAGAAGAAAAATAAAACTGTTACTCACAAAGCTAAAAACTATCAAAGGCTATATACCTAATACGGGAATCAGTAAATACATTAATGCAGAAATATACATTTCTAAGGAAACTGTCAAAACGTAAGCATGAAAGCATTAGAAAATTACCTGCAGAGACAGAAAACAGTGAGATCATTTGGAAAGCCATTTCAATATACGTTGTAACCAAGTTTTAGCTTCTCCAGAGAAAGGATTTGCCACCTTTCTTTGACTTTCATGATTATAAACCTCATATCTTTGGGGTTTGGACTAGTTTTGGGCAAAACAAGACGTCTGAAGATGGCAACAAGGATTCTGGAACAATATAATGCATGAATAATTCATATTTTTAGCTACTTTTTGGAATTTTTATAATCAAACGATGAATTTGGTCGTTGAGTAAAAGGTCTGTAGACCAAATGATATTGAAAATAATTTTTAGCCGCAGGCATAAAACTTTTGAGCAGTTTACGAATATAATCCCTTTCACATAAAAGGAAATAAAAAGATTTAAATAAATAAAGAACAATATTCTTTTATTTTTTGTTGAACGGAAATCCCCCTTTGAATCACGCATGCGCAGCGGGCGGAGCATACGTAGGTCCTGACGGGAAGGTCTTTTTGTTTGGGCCGCTGAGAGATTCGACACTTGGTTTGATTCCCCTGGTTAACAACCGTTTTTTATCTGCATTAATTTCGGTGAGTAACTGCATTTCCACAATTTTCGTTATCCCTCACGCTTTAAAATTCACGTGAAGATGCTAGTATCTTAGGCTAGGACGTGTTAAATAACGTTTTTTAGCCGGGAATGTTGCCATCATGGGCGCCGCTGGAGGGCGAATTTTGGTTTACTCCGGTTCGGGTAGCTAACTTAGCATTAGCCTCCTTACAGCGCCCATACGCACAATATGTCGATAGTAATCCAAATTTTGCGGTGACATTTCGGCAGAAGGTTGCGTTGAGGACATATTAACTAATCATGATGGTTTTTAAAGCACGAGCTGCTGTTAATTAATTAACAGAATATGGTTAGCAAACCAGCTAGTGGGCCCGGCTAAGCAGCCCTGGCTCGGCGCATGGTGAGGCCCGGATTTAGCTAATGCTAACCCATAATTAGCTAGCTGTAAAGTATGCCATACCTCATCAAATCGTGCCTAATATCTGTCTTTTAAACTTATAAATGGTTCACAAAACGTTTTCTGTTTCATGATCACAGTTGTTGGCGAAAATTAAAATATAACCTGCAACACATGACTAATTGGTTACCAGCTCCATTGTACCTCCTGGCATTGTCTTTTGTTTGTTTTGTCTTCCTTTGATTTTGTATTAGTAACTATTAAAAAAGCATTTCTGTAATTTGTCATTAGTAATGAATTAAAATTTTACGGACTAGCTTTATTTTACGTGATACACTCTATCTGCATCTGTATTGTAAAGTCCTTTTAATTCAAGGGGCCTTTGAAGGTATTGCAGTTCTAAGTTTCATTTTCAAAATTCTTAAATATTTTCTCTAACCTGTCATGGACAGTAATACAAGTTATAAACTTTATTGCGTCTGATTGCATGCTTTTACAATACCTTACACTTAAACCATAAGTGGGATTTTTTTTGATCAGTGTTACAGTGAAATAGGTTTTGAATTGCATTTTATCTGGTGTTAAAACTTCTTAGTCTGAAATATAATTTGGTGAACCCTGCAGAAACTGCACTAATTCTGTATTATTGCAAGAAAAGCTCTATTCAAACATGGCCCTAACTATACTTGAATTACTCATAGCTGAAGGATAGTGGGTGTCATTCTACATTTTTATCAGTTTAAACAAATTCCATGAATATACCAAACTCAACAATCTGTTAATCAGTAACTATTTTGACAACTGATTCATTGTTTTGAGTCATTTTCTAACATTTGCAGGTCAAAACAACCAATCTATTAATTGAGGGGGATAATTGTCAGGTTCGTTTTGAAAACAATTTGTTGCAGTTTTAAGATATTTTGTGTCATGGTTAAAACAGGGCTCAGTGATTTTAGCAAACGGTACTCAAACACAAATAAATTGTGAATTTGTTGGATTCACACCTATATATTAATATACACTGGGTGGCGTGAGTATTTTCAGCAGCAGGATGAAGTATAAAAACTACAGTGGTCAGGTTGATGTTCGTGAAGGAACGTTTCACCCAGTGTAATGCTTATGCTTGTTGGTGTGTTCATAATAGTTTGCGGAGAAGAGTGAAACTCTCTGAACTCATGACATTGACATGGATCCAACCCAAGTTACACCCAAATGAAAGCAACACAAAACATAATTTAAGGGAACACAGTGTACTGTTCACTCGTGTGTTAACTTGTAATCTGCACGGCTTGAGTAAACATTAACTGTCTGTTCTATCCTTTTCAGGGTGTCTTTTATGAATAATCAAAAGCAGCAAAAGCCAACGCTAACCGGCCAGCGTTTCAAAACGAGGAAAAGAGGTCAGTGTTGATTGTTGCTGCTTTTGTTTTCTGTTTTGTATGTTTGACTGTGACCAAATCTTACCCTGTCCCTAAAGGGGTTTTTCCTGAATGCAACACTTTGCGTGTTCTTCCCACAGATGAAAAGGAGAGATTTGACCCTACTCAGTTTCAAGAAAGTATCGTACAAGGCTTGAATCAAACTGGCACTGATTTGGAAGCGGTTGCAAAGTTCCTTGATGCCTCTGGCGCCAAGCTTGACTACCGCCGGTATGCAGAGACACTCTTTGACATCCTGGTGGCCGGTGGGATGCTGGGTAAGTTGTCAAAAGAAGCAGGTTATATATGTGTGAGAGCTTTAACTGATGTCCGTGAATCCTGGAAAAGATTTGAAAATGCCTTGAATAACAGAATAAAGCCATCAACTCATATCGATGTGATATAGGCAGGAATTTGACGGTTGCTTTTGTGGCTTGAATGTTTTTATTATCTTTACTACAGCCCCAGGCGGGACTCTATCTGACGACATGACCCGCACTGAGTTCTGCCTCTTCACGGCACAAGAAGACCTGGAGACAATGCAAGCATATGCTCAGGTAAAAGGCAGCTTATACAAGTCAATGGACATTTATTGAATTAAATATTTTAACTTAAATATTTATTCAATAGAAATGTAAAAAAAAAAAAAAAAAAAGCCAGGAGACACTGTTTAGTTAATGCTGTTTCTTTTTCTCACCAAAAATAGGTTTTTAACAAGCTGATCAGGCGTTACAAGTACCTGGAGAAGGGTTTCGAAGAGGAGATCAAGAAGGTGGGTTCTTTTCGTTTTTTTTAAACGGGATCCTGAGTGCAATTGAGCACGGATGTATTATTTTAAAGCTCGGATCACAACTTGTAGTTCTGGTTGGACGTGTCTCTAAAAGGGGCGGTTCTCATCTGCCATTTTAATGTGCAGTTACCTTACTCCAGAGGCAGCACAAACTATTGCTGTGTTTGCAGTGTTGAAGGTTTCACAATGATTTGGCAGGTGTTAGTTGGCGATGTCACGGTTGATTGTAGTTCAGAGAGACACTTCATTTTTACAGGCAAACTAAATTTACAGCTGCAATGTAACATGAAACACTTTAGGATTGTAGGAACTAACTTCCTTACAGTCCTGATTAATCTGTTTATACTCATTTTTGTGTAATAAAATATGAGGAAATATCTGTCAATTGTAATTTCCAAATCATAAGGAATTAACCTCAGTCAGCACTGAATTGAAATTTTTCAAACGTAGTTTATCATTATCAACAATTTAAGTGGTTATTATCTTATTACTGTGAGGAAGTAAAGATAATGTGTTGTAAAGCAGCTGCAGGACAAATTTCTCTGTGGACGGTAAAGTATTGCTACACCTACAGAGACATAAACCATTAGAATTTGCCTCCAGTCTAATTACAGTTGTAGGATTAAACGACCCCTGTAACTTAAAAACACAACAAACCTATGTGTATATATATCTGTCCCTGTAGTTGCTGCTGTTTCTAAAAGGGTTCACCGAGTCTGAGCGCAACAAACTGGCCATGCTGACCGGTATCCTGCTGGCCAACGGCAACATATCAGCCTCCATCCTGAGCAGCCTCTTCAACGAGAACCTTGTCAAAGAGGGTGAGGACACATTTGGTCTTCTCTTCAATCATCCCAAAATTCCAATTGCGTTTTTAACAGCAGAAAACAAACCTGTCTTGTTTCTGTTTAGGAGTATCTGCAGCCTTCGCTGTCAAGCTGTTCAAGTCATGGATCAATGAGAAGGACATCAACTCTGTTGCTGCCAGTCTCCGCAAAGTCGGCATGGACAACAGGCTGATGGTAAACGAACTGATAAGAATCTGCTAAAATCATTAACATCATTACAAGCTCTTAGCAGTTGCTGCAACTGATTTGTATGTGAATTAACCTAAAAAAATATCTCTGCCCCACAGGAACTCTTTCCTGCCAACAAACGGAGCTGCGAGCATTTTTCTAAGTACTTCACTGACGCCGGGCTGAAGGAGCTATCTGACTTCGCCCGAAACCAGCAATCCATT